CCGGGGCCTGCCCGGCGCTGCAGCCGCCTCCGGGGGTCTGGAGCGTAGCGGGGGTGGGGGGGGCGCACCCAGCCGGGCCTCGGGGGGCTGGAAAGGGTCGAGGCCGCGGCTGGCCGGCCCGCCCGCCGTGGTGGCCCACTGACCTGCCGCCGTGGTGGCCCGCAGCACGGAAGGGGAAGAGGCCTTCCCTCCCCTCCATCAGCTCTCATCGCCTCTTTTCCTCCACCCAGCGACGGTTTTGTTTCGCAGGGTTTCCTCGTTTACAGCAGGGCCGGGCTGGGCGCTGCAGGATGCGGTGCTGAGCTCGGTGCCGAGGGTTCACCCACGCCAGCTGCCTGCCACGGCTGATGGAAAATCGTTCCCGGCGCCTTCTCGTGTTTTAAGGCTTCTGTGGGACGCTGGGCGCTGCGTGGGCCTGGCTGTTCGCACGCCTCCTTCTCTTTGCCTGCATAAGCGCATCCTTCGTCCCTTTCTGTTTGTCCCCTGTCTTGTCTGAAGCTGTAGGCTGCGTGTCCTAACGTGTCCCGCTTCCCCATCCTGCTGGGGATACGTTTAATCCTGGACAGGAGCGCCGTGGCCCTTCTCCACGTGCAGACTGCGAGGAGACCCCTCTGCCTGCCGCATCAGGCATGCTGGGAGCTGGGATTTGCCCCCGAATCCAGCTTTTCCAGTGTCATCGTGTGAATCAAGATTAGCAGGATCGTGAACCTGGATGCTCGGGTCGCTTGAAATTTTTGAGTTGTCGGCACAATCGGGTGTTACTACACCGTGAATAGAAACTCTGCCCAAGTTGTGCATAGGCCTGAATATGTTTAAAATAGGCGTAGGAGCATAAATGACTTCATTATGGCTGTGCTGAAGTTTGGGAGCTTGAAAAGACACATCCAGGTTAGGTTGATCAAGTGTTTTTTAAGGGGGCATGCTGCAAGCAGAAAGCCAATTAAGCTGCAGTGAGTCAGAGCCATTTTTAAACTGGTGCAGGGCATCAGATTGGTAATGGGTTGTGCCAGTGCATAAATAATGGCCCTACATTAGTATAGCTAAAATGGGGTTGGCCTTGTTATTTGAATACAACTCTTTGAGATGACTTAGTCTTTGTAGTTTTTTTTTGTCTGTTTCTTCAGCAGCAGTTTGCACTCTCTCCCTTGTTGAGATATGTGCAGAGTGTGAGCTACCTTCTCACTTTTCTTCTAGGCTGTAATGTTTTTCTTCTCTACTAGGTGAATTTGAGAGAAGATAGAGGAGAAAAGGTTGTGGTGCTCTTCTAGTTTATGCTTACAAGAAGGCTCAGCTTTATGGAGTTACCTGTTAGGGATCTTGCTTTCCATATATTGCAGACGCTCAGAATACACTTGCGTAATGCCCTCTGAGCTTTGCCAGACTGGTAGAGTCTGATTTACTCACCATTTGGGGAGCAGGGAAGGTCCTCAAGGTATTCTAATGTTCCTTGAAAAGATGGGGCAAAAAAAAGGGGGGGGGGGGGGGGA